AAGTGGTAGTAGAACACTCCTATGATGACGCAGCTTTCGAGCATAAAAACCAGCGAAAATTCGTTAGAGGAGAAGCAGCCGGTGGGCGCAGCCTGTAGGCAGGGGAGCAGCACTTCTACAAAGTGCGGCTTGCAATTCTTTTCAAGTGCGTTCCCAACCGGACATTGCCTTGTTCCACGAATGCAATGTGATAAATGTAAATGGCAATTTAACAGTTCATATTTCAAATGCTCATTCGAGCGGAGATGGTGTTGTGACAGAAGGGGCCACTACTATGGTCCTGGATCGAATCCCAGCTCAAACCCAGCGTAGGTCAGCCAAATTTCTGTAGATGATTAGTTGTTGCAAGGAGTGATAGATACTAAACGGAACACACCAATAACGTCTTTAAAAAAGTCGGAGTCTAAGGGTTAAGAGCGGGTTAAGAGCGCAACTCAAAAACCACAACAAGATAATAGGCAACCCGTATAGATCAATAGCTCACGTGAAATGGAAGAAGTCCGCCCAACTCCTCGCATCCTTCAGCAATCCCGAACATTCTGCGCTTCTCGTGATATTCGCTGATATCCTCGTCCCCATTTTCGCCGTAGAGGCGCCTCCCCAGAGACGGACATCGCGGATCAGCGAATGAGTTCGGCAGTTCATCTGTCGTGAACAGCACGCCAGCGTGTGATTCGACAATATCCACCTGAATTCGAAAATGGCGATAACGACAGACTAATGGGAAGTAATATAAAGAGGTCTCACGTTTTTACGCATACGGTACTTCATCAGCATCTCTTTCAAGCTTTTACGGTTCGACGCCGTACATTCTACGAGAATGTCACCGTTGTCCCGCGATACCAGAACGTCGTCTACTATTCTTCCTTTAAGGTTAAGGAAAAGGGCAGCGATACCCACTGAAGGCGGTACCGTTCTGAAAAGAACAAATGGAAGAAAAAACTCAAGAAGCGGATATTTGTCTTTTCTCTACGAAATTTTTGCTTGGTAGCAGAGAATTGCTGAATGTTGCAAGACGCTTCGTTCAAGGATTCAACTATTATGCTATTATGGAAATTTAGCAGTATTCGAAGGTTCTGCACTCTCGCAACTGGTCAAACTGGAACAGCCCCTCGATGCTGAGCTAAATAACCTCCAACCAATTCTGCGCTTGGGTTTTTTTACGATGACTTAGCCAGAATTTCGGGCCAAACAATCATATGACAGATCAAAACGCGAGAAATTGTAGTGACTATTCGAAAACAGAGAAAGCAATGGTGAAAATTGTCAAGTACATACCTAACATCGTTCGTGACAAGACCCTGCAAAAAAGTCAATGAATCCGATCCTCTAAGTATTAACACTGAACGATGAATGAGCCCCGTAATCTTGGGCATCTGAAAGGCACGTGTACTCAAACATATTAGCATTGAACGGTTATGAAAGTAACCCGAACAAACGAGGGTTAACGTACAAACATCTGAAATTGAAAGGATTTATTCCATTATGTACAGAAATGAAGCGATGCATACCAATGAACAAAAAAACGATAACAATCGGAATCTAATACAACTTGAGCAAACCAAGGGGTTGCTAGGAATGAATATTTTAAAACAGATGAGATGCGTTTGTCAGCTGAAAGCTATTAATGAAACGAATCAGTCCGATTTATGTGAAAACAAGAGGTTTATGATGAAGGACATATAGAAGGCAATAAATCCAACAAAAAATAAGGAATGCAATAATAAAACCGTACCACAGTGTCGGCAAGAAAAAAACAGAAAGGAGTGAAAACCAGCCGAAAATACAGCTACGCTACTTTCGTATTGCGCCTACTTGATTGAAAAAAGGCATGCGAAGTGCTTCTCGAGCAGTAAGGCGTTGTTCCGTGGCGAAGGTCAAGCAACCACCAATCACCGGCACTGCATCGGCAGGCAGTCTCGGATTTAGTCTAAGTATCCAAATATTTATGGAGGACAAAAACTGAATTAGTCAGAGAGGCTTCAAAAAACGAGGAATCACAGTAGACTATTTTAAGTGGGAAGTCTCAGATGCAGCAGCCCCATGAATGCTCAGTATGGCAAAAACATTCAAAAAAAGAAACATTTTTCAAATACCGCTATCTGTTCGGACAAAACTGAAGCCGAATTCTTTCGTGATACCAAATGCATTTCTATACTAAAAGATACCAGTTTATGAATGGATTGCTATCATGAAACTGAATCGATACAAAAGTTCACAATCACACGCCATCACCAGCACTTTTTCGGGTGTGTACCACGAGACACCAGAAGGTAGTGTCGAGTGCAAAAAAGTGCTATCAAGAGAACTAGTCGCTATCAAATTTTCAACGTGCAAAGGTCAGAGCACTTGAGAGAAAGGAAACTAATGATAACATAAGACAAACAGAACAGGTAGTGCACGAGGAGGATTCTGAGAAAAAAAAGATCGCCGGCCGTCAGCTGCTTCGCAACCACGGCCTTCCCCATAAAAGCATATGTATTCAGTTAATTCGTTGTGATATCTTTTCTTGGACGAAATTTAATTGGCATTTGGAATGTTCATTTAAATTAAATCAATCGCGGCCTTGCAGCAATTAATACGTAAGGTTTCATCAATATTTACTTTGATGGAAAAATGGACCGATATGAGTGGACTAAAAGGAAGTAGAATCGTCAAGCTTCCCTTTGAGTATGGTGTGACTGCTTCGCGAGCAATTTTAACAATAAAGCCCGAAAGTTTATAAAGACTAACAAAAATACCTCTCTAACGGTTGCGCAGGATACGATGGGTAATTGGATCGCTCAACAACAGCATCGTGAGGCCACAGCGATGACCGAGGTGTTCCCATTTTCCTTGAAGAATAAAACGTGTCGTTTGGGATAATAAAAATAGTAAAATCTAAATTCAATCAACATCAATAACGAGTAGAAAGAAAAGCGAAGATTAACATACTGAAAAATAATGCTGAGCTGTTGAGCTTCAGTTTGCCCAGGAAAAAGTGGAATTCGTTGGTAGAGTTCACTGACAATGCATCCAACAGCCCAAACGTCTACAGCTGTATTATAACTACACTGTAGGAGCAGTTCTGGACTTCGGTACCAAAGAGTCACGACCTAATTGTAGAATCCATCCAATAATGGTACATTGCATGAGAAGTATTGTGCGTAATGCTAGGAAATAAATTTGTCGAGAACGTACCACTGTTGTAAAACAACTCTGCGTAGAATATGTTCTGGACAATCCAAAATCCGCTATTTTCACTGTTTGATCGCGATTGATGAGAATGTTTTGAGGTTTCAAATCACGATGGACAATATTGTTACTGTGTAGAAAATCCACACCTTCGAAAATCTGAGAAGGATTTGCAGTGTTCGAGATTTGACAAACTGTTATATAGAGAAACTGTCCCACGAACCTGTTTTGCTATAAGCCTACATTGATGATCAGGCATGTCACGAGGAATATCCTTCAAAAAAGAGTAAAGATCCCAGTCACATTTCTCCACTACCATATTAATGTGCAAATCACAACCGTTGTTCTCCAAAGTGTGAAAGACGTCATGTAATCTGAAACCACACGAGTCAATTCGAAGGCAGAAGAAGTGCATGCACTGACACTAACTTCCAATTTGAACCATCTTCATTGTGAAAGGCCGACATGTGAAGGTCAGAAGTCAGCACTGTGGACAAAGATCGAATTTCTACTTTTGAAAGTCTTCTATAAACAATTCCACCTACAATGCGATATTCCTGTGACGTAATCGCCTGAGCGCCATCATACTCGATATTTCTCGCAGCACGCTTTGAGGGACTCCGTCGTCATTTACGCCCACAACTATTTTCTTTAGTGCATACTGAAAAATGATTTGCAGCATGCCAAATTTGGATTTAAAGGTGTGTTTAAAAGCGATAATGCGGAGATGAAATTTGTAAATTAACATACTTCGTTCATTGTCGGTGTGTGAGTTACATGATAAACGACACCGTAGGCTCCTTTTCCAAGCAGGTTCAACTCCCTGTATTCATCTGCTTTTGTTGATCGCCAATACGGAGGCTGCGATGCTGCTAATGCCATTCTGAGAAATGGGATAGTTTACTGCGATGGAACTGTTTCCTGCTTATAACGGCAATGCCCTATTATTCACAGAAACTCGTTGCATAAAACAACTGGGAAAAGCAAAACAGTTACATGATGAACAAGGCAGTGCATCTTAACGGAATGTCATGGACATTACGATGTGGAGATTTAATATTCAGGAAAAGATGAGGAAACAAGCTCGAGGTCCAGGCACACTAAATTTGCGACTAAATGCCTTCTCCCTACCCACTAATTTGAAAATTCAAAGTTGACGTTGACGCGCTCCAATGCTAATCGCGGGGTAACTCGTACACTTTTTCTTGAGACTTCAGTCAGAATAACTCATTATGAACTTTACTTTTGAGGTTATACGGTTCCTCAGCCATTACTACAGAGAGTTTCTGTCACTGTTCTCAGGCAACTTATAGCAGTTGTCATCTGTGATCAAATACACCATAGGAAATAAGTTATTTGCGTCTGTCAAAAAAACAATTGTCATACTCTTTCCCGCGCACGATTATCAGCAGGAATGGAAACTGTGACGGGTTTTGCGCTGTAATTGGTACAAAAAGAAAAAAGGCAAAAGTCACCTCAATAGAGCGTCAACGTACGTTGGCGACACCGCATCGGACGAGTTGTCGCGAGCTGGTTTTGATTTGTAATTTACCTGCACACTTTGCTGAGGTTTAATGTCATTGTTCCAGTCTTTGAGGAGTTTCTTCCTCATATGAGTTTGAATAATAAAATCAACTTACATAGTCTTAAAGCCTCTTTGTTCACGAGATATTCAAAGCGTAAAGGATAACTGTGCTCTTTCTGAATGATTCCGTACAATTATTATACACGTTTATTTTTTGAGCGTAACATGGGAGGGGTGCTAATCTATCTCTTGTTCTTTTTCAGAGATTTTTAGTGATGAAAGAAACGTGCTCGTGGTGAATCGCAAAGTTTTATTCTATTGAAACATCCTCTTTCCATATACGATGGCTTTATATCACTCCGAAACTTCTTTTAGGAGTTTTATATGAGATTGGTCACTTAGTTTGTACGTGTCCCTTTCAGGGTGAACCTAGAGGTCAATGGCTGTCCCACAAGATGCGGAAGAGCCTGTTTGCCCTGAACGCTTTCGAGGTAGCCTCAAGGAGTCGTCTTTCACTGTGCCGGATATTTCCACAAAAGTTTTCAAAGAGGAATGCACATATTGCTTCCGGACTCCTTTCTTTGCAGGTGTGTGGAAAACTACTATCTTTTACTATTCTTGAAGATGCTTCTGCCTCATCGGCACTGTTGCACTATTACAACCCCAGTGGGGGTGAGATGGGTCAAAATAATTTTCGCTGAAACTTCGGCTATGGGGGTTATCGAGGGTCCTGATCACGAATATGATATCATTTTTGGCGCTGGCGCCAATTTGGCGCCAGGTGGCGCCACGACTGATTTCACTAAATTCGCTGTAACTTCTGTAAGCAGGGCTCCAAAGTGAGAAGGCCACTGTTCTGTGGTCTAACACACTCCAACTTTTGCCACACGGTGCGTGGTTTACCCACTCCGGAGTTTCACTCCCCCCCCCCCTAAGCTTAGTCTTAGGCGCTATAGGTGAGAAAGCTTAGAAAAGCAGAAAATATGCGTT